TGCAAAGGATTGTAGAGATTTGATAAATTTGCATAGCAGAAATAAAAACTCCAGACCCTTGTGGAGTCTGGGCTAGCTGTTTTCTTTAGCTTCAGCTCTATGATTGAGGATTAAGGAGAGGATACAGAGTAAAGAGAAATGCACATGGCAATTGCTGCCTTTAGAAGACTTAACAGTCATATTGAGGGTTTTTAATGTTCTCTGTTTTTTCATTCCTTTATAAGGAAAACAAACAAGCTACTCAAAACAGCTACTCAAAGAGTATAACTCACCATATCAAATGCAAATTTTATGTGAATCCATTTCAAGAAAGGATTCCAATATTCACATTCACACACATGAAGCTTCATTATAAAACCTAAGCACATATAGGCAGGTTTCTACAAAATCCAGGTATGGAACAAATTCTCTGTGAATCTAAAATTTCTATCAATTTGAGCACATTTAAGAATATTTGTGTTTTGACATTTCAATGTAGTGTTATATGTTTCAGCATTTTGGGGGGAGGGGCCTGGCATTTTCAAGGTTTAACGTTTACTTGGAAAGACGGAGAGCCTTTGAATTTCTTTGAGACACACATCATTCGTCTTGAAGTCATCCTGAAAATGTGGCAAGCCACTGATACTTTTGTAGAGAACCCAGTTCCATTTTTCTGGTGTAAATATATTCTGAGGTCTGCTTTTAAATGTGTACCTAGGAGTAGGAAAGTTTGAGAAAGGAGAGAAGCTTGGAATCATGGTTTTGCCTTGCATTTAACTTTGACTGTTGCGAAGGGACATAATTCTATACAAGCTGTTTTGATAATAAAGAGGTGGAAAAGCTGGAACAGTTTTGTGATCACTCCTGTCCTTTTATATGGGATTATTATTACCTCTAATTCCCAGGCACATGCACTACTTACTTGGAAGCCATTGATTCCATATTTATTTACAGCTAGTATACAAATAAAAGAATGTGAAATATATAATTCTGACAATGTTTTTTTCCCTTTAAATCTTAGGTTTACTTGAGGGACTTTATTCCTTTTTTATACCAATAATAGCTAAGATTTGTGAACTTCAGAAGCCATAACCCCCTTACATGACTTTCCCAAAGTCAAAAAAGACCAGTCTAAACCCATAAGTGTAACTGTAAGGTCATAGCATAGAGTTTTAAATTTTAGTTCAATTGTTCTCTATAGGCTAGACTTAGTTCAGTACAGGTAATATTTTAACTACTTAAAAATTCAAGTAAATTATGATTTAGAAATTTTCAAACTGAAGTGATTCTAAGGAAGTAATATTTGTTTTCTTATTTTCCATTGGTGGCAGGAAGTCATGAAAGAGTAGCCAGCTTATTTTTAGGTCTTTTCTTGTTTAATTCCTTTTACGTAGAAAAGATGAAAACTGCAGGCATTATCAGAGAACTAGGGGAAATTAAAGAGGAATCACTGTAGAAACAGCTTTTCATATAATTGCATCATTCTTATTACTCCCTGGCCGCCAAATTGTCCAACTTGTCTGAAAAATGAACAGGTCAAATATCTGTGCACAGCCACTTGGCCAAATGTAGGTAAGTTGATATCGCTGAAGATTTATGACTATCCCTTTACTACCTGTCTCCTCCCATTCCCTGTACTGTCTAGCCTAAGTTGAGTTTATTTTTCTTTAATTAAAGTGGCTATGAAGAATAAAATAAAGAACTGAATAGGTAAATGGAGTGTGTGTGTGAGAGAGAGAGAGACAGAGAGAGAGAGAGAGAGAGAAAGCAATTAGTATTTGCTAAATCTTTGCCAAAATCTCTCTGCATATACTTCTGACATACGATTACCTATTTCTTTAATGATACTCATAGTAAATAACTGAATTTGAAAAGTATACTTTAAAAAGTAGAATATATACAAAGCATTGAAAAATCATAAACATTTTAAATGGGTCCTAGAATTACATGATTTTTTTTAAGTATTAGGAGATCCAGACATAGAATTCCTTTTTTTTTTCATTTAAAGTATAGCCCAAAACAAACATCTATCTTTGCTTTCTTTGCAGGAAAGAACCAGTATCTGGATTATTTCCAGGCCATCCAGACAGTTATTTCAACTGGAACAAGTGACCTTTGGAACAGACTAGAACATAGCAGCCTGGCCAGACAAAGGGGAGGGAGTAGTCAACTGGGAAGGACCCCAACATGTACTCCTGAAAGCTCATTTGAAATAAGAGGAAAAATATAAAGACAGATAAACGAACTCAAAAATATTGAAAACCAATGAAAACTGCATGACCACAATATCGGATTCAAGGAAGATATGGTTTGAGTTTTTAGCTATCATTCTTTAATACACATGCTCAATAAATACAGTTCTCCACTCCCTTGAGTACAGGGAATGTCCTGTAATTATATGACATTCACCCTTGAATTCTCACAGCCTCTTTGATGCTGAATAATCATTCTTTTGTTTTTCCTCTCAATTGGGCCAGATTTCCTTGGTCCATGATTCTATGGTGGTTGTTAAACATTCTTAGGCAGAAAATTATCAAGAGCTTTATTTAGCAAATTATTGATGCAGTAAAAGTTAAAATAATGGTAAAGATTGTATTGGAGAGGAAAAAGTGGTTCTCTTCTCCCGTTATTAATTTGAAGGCACGATGTTTTGTACTATCTAAGACAGTATAAAAAATTTTAGTTTGCATCATTATCAAGAAGCATGCTAAAGAATTATTCAACCTTTTACTGAATGCTTATGGATAAAGTACTGTGCTTGTCACTAAGGAGGATAGAAAAATGTCAAGGAAGTCCTTTAAAAGGGTTGGTAAAATAAATGGCAACATTTTAAAATTTATTAAAAATACAAAAACAGAGTTGCTTCCAAGATATCTTAGTGATTTTTGCAAAAAATATTAACAATGATAAGTTGATTAGGGTCAAGGTACTGAGAAAATACCTTGGGATTTCAGAATGTTCTTTCATAGAAAACTCAGGTCCAGTGTGTATTGGAAAATCCTTTTAAGAGGTAACTTCGACAGCTTCTAGCTAGGTCCTCTTTAATGAAAACGGTAACATTTGAAAGTCTTAATGCATGGAGTTTCAAAATGTCTATAGAGTCACCTGCAAACTAGAATAGTTTGGTTCAATGAATTTTGAGTGTGCATTTGAATGAATGCCAGAAATGTGGCTAAGGTAAATAAGATAAGGTAAATTTTTGCTAAACTTTTGTTACACAGTTATGGTGGCACTATTAACTGAAGCAGAACACAATGTTAATCATACAGAAATAAGGAATTTAGCTATTTCAATTTATCATGTCATGTCAGGAAAATGAGAACTCAACTCCTTAAGTATGCCATCTTTTGTATACTATTAAACTATGATTTGGGAAGTAGTGTTGCTTAGAGTCTATGAAGTAGAGTGAAAAGGAATGAATCCAAAGGCAATGACTTCTGCAATTTAAATAATATCTGTATTTCATAAAATTTCCTTATCTGAAAATAAGAAAATTGAAGATTATATATGATATTAGGAGGAGTTATTCTTGCTAGATAAAAAAAAAAAATCCCACTTTGAAAGGATTCTAGAGAAATTATGCTTTGGGGGAGAGAATTTCAGAAGTGGATTATCTTAGACCTTGACAACATAAGATCAAAACGTGTAACGATTATGTAAGAATTAAGGTTTCTGTCAAATTTGTGACATGGGTATTGAAGAAGAAAGATTTTGGAAGATTTGTCTGAAGTGATTTAGAAGGAGAAGACATCCAGGAAATGCCCAGAGGGATATGAGGGCAATAGCAGCCATGCCCATTCCACAGTTTGTGAGCTGCCTGTGAAGGGTGTAGTTTGGGTGGAGTCTGAGATTGAGTTGTCAAAATTGAGTCCAAGATCCTTCAAGTAATTTAACAGAGGCCTAAACTCAAAATCATGAGTAAATATTCAATTTGGAACTATATACGGAAACACTGGAATAGCAAAGTATTGACAGTTTTTTCCATGATTATGCTAAGTAACACCAATAAGAGTAAAAAAAAGTCAGTATTTAGAAATTCAACAACATAATATATCAGAAACTCTATTTGAAAATGAATTGCCATACTATGACTAAAATTGTTTGAGTAAAATTCGTGCCCAAAATATAAGAAACAAAAAGAGATGAAGAAGATTATTACCATTAGTCTGTCCTGATAAACCTCACACTGTATGTCTGACATAATAGTAGCTAGTGTGAGGTGCCTAGATTCAACCATGCTGAAATATGTATGTTCCTGGGAAAGCTTTTGGTTCACACAGTACTTTAACATTAGTACATATTGGTTTTCATTTAGTAACTCATATGCTTTCCTAACTTTTCCATTATGACAACAAACTAACTGAAGGCAAGGATCCTGTCAATTTAACAATATCAGTTAACAATATCCGACATGTATAACACGCCAGATGTTTTCTGACATGTATAACACGTGTTATTCACACAACGTGAGTAATAAGTGAATTTTATTGAATGAATTGAATTGTTCATTGGGTGCAAAGTCTGTATGGGAGTCCTGTGTGTCTCTAAAATACTTAACACCAAGTTTTGAAAAGGTTCAAAAGTTCTTCGTGATAGAACAGTTACCCACAAACCACATTCTATTATCAAGTCCACCTTTTTAAGACTATCAGCTAAGACACCTTTAGTATTATTGCTAGGCTCAAAAAGCCCCCAATTTGGAAAAGTGATATTTACATAATACAGTTATTGCACCAGATGCTTTTGTTGAAAGGAACCAAATCGTGACCTCTCTCATCAGCAGGATCAAATTCATTGTTTTCACAACTGAATGATATTTGCTCATAAAGCTAAAATGTGTGTGGGCTGTAAGAAATGAAGTTAAATGTAAAGCCCTTTCTTTCTTTGTTCTTTGCATCTTTCTCTTTCTCTTTTTATTCTTTCAACTCAAATTTATCACCTAGAGAATCTATCATATAATTAGCTTTAGAATGTGTCTAAATTAATTAGAGATTATTTAATGAGCATATTATACAATTTAATTTATTTAAAATCATTTATTCTCAGCAAAATCAAACATATCATCGTGTTTACATAGAAATACAATTTTCAACCAGATCTTCATAAAAATGCACTGGAGAAATAAAATGTTCATCATTAATGACCAATTATGTACTATTTAATCATGCCAGTAGCAGAATTGATTACCATTAAAAATTGGTAAAGTAACATATCTTAAATGTGCAAATACCATCTTAGTACTCTATTGTGTTACCATTGATAATAAATGGCTGCTAAATATATACCTATTACATAAATCTTTTTAAAGTACAATAAAAATACAAATCTATCTGTTAAAAAAAGCCACATATAGGGCTTCTAAACATCCTCATTATACAAATTCCAAAATACTATATGACAAACAAAATTATAAAGACTCTTCTTTATGAAACATATATTGCCCTCTAATTAAGACACAACCAAACAGATAAAGGAAAACACACTAGAAGACTCATATATACCATTCAACATTATGGAGATACACACAAATATAATATTGCATAAGCATATTTGATTTTTTTTCCTAATGGAAATGTACCTTTAGCACTTGAAGAAAATTCCCACGAGTAAAAGAAAAATCTATTTTTGAGGGCCACCTCCAATATAAGCCCACATTTTTATTAATTTTATTTTTCTCGTAATGTAATGAACTAAATTAGAAATTTTCACCAGAAATTTTTGTTGCACTGAATACAAATTAGTCTGTTACATAATGGGCAGAAGTATAGGAAGCAAATGTTGCTTTTAAAGTCAAGGTTCATCAACACATTAAGAATGAGGTCCAAGAGAATTAAATTGCTCATGTTCAAGACTAAACTGAGCAGCAACTTGATTTTTATAAAAGATGAGGTTCTGACTTCAACAAAACAAATGTAAATCAAATTTGCTAAGTAAGATTGATAATTCACATAAAAAAGTTGTCATAGATGTTAAAGTATGAAAATTAATGGGGCATTGCAAAATAAGCTTTGGTGAGAAAATAATTTTCTCAAAGAAGAAGCTATCAGAAGGATAATACCTATTTAGGGAGAACAAATATATTTGGTAAAGTAAATATGGGTGATAGATATTGCAACCATAAGTAGCATATATTCCAAATAACTTTTAGGAATATCAGATCAGATAATGTTTAGCTGTGATAGTAATATAATTTATCTCATTAGAAATAAAATTTTAAGTTTTTTGTAATAGCAGATTTTCATTATTTTTCATAATCCTTATTCATGAAAAAACTTAAATATTTAGAGTATAACTGATAATAACTAAAATTATCACTTTGTATTTACTAATATTTAATAAATACTCTAAATACATTGTTTTAATTATTATTGGAATTTATATGCTTATTATTTTACCTGCTAAAACTTAGTGACCTGGTGGCATTATATTCAAAGTTAATATTTTCCCAGTGATGTGAGCAGCATTTTATACATAAAATGGCATTTGTCTAATGAATGGCAACATGTTTATTATTTGAAAACAGAACGTGTTTAGTTTGGCATTAATGTATCTCTTCAGAATTTTAAAAAGTATCATTAAGGTATGGCTTTTGGGAAATCAACAATAAATTAGCAGCCTTGAAAATGGATTCAAATTTCAAGGTGCTGATTATTTAGAACTCACACACAAGGCAGATATTTGTATAATTTGTCTTTCAATTATAAATTCATCTACCACAGAAACAGAAAGGATACTAAAAGTATGATACACTTGACAGCAAGTTGTTTTTAAAATAAAAATTATAGATCAATCGTGAAAATGAAGAAAGACATTTTACTGAAATAATTTTCAAAACAGTAATATATTCAAAAATATATTGGGCACATGTATAATACCTATCTTAAAGTAATAATGAATTATATATGCATATAAACAAATTTAACATGAATCAGGGTCTCTTGTTCTTGACATCAGCACCTACTATCTAATGGGTCGAGACAAAATACGGTGCCTTCAAGAGTTAGTCCCATTTTGAACCCCTCCTGTAAAACAGAATAAAATCATTAAAATAGGAAATGCTAATGGCAAAGTAAAATAAAATAAAATCAATAAATAGAAAAGACTATGAACAGAAGTTGAAATCTTCATGCTTTGATCAATTAAGAAACAATTATATACTAATGTTGGCTTGTAAAATTTTATATAGATGTATACTACTGGCAGTTCTTTTATGCTCATTAATATTTTAATGTTTTACATATATGTGAGGTTAGCATTCATGAGAGACAGAAGAAAATAGAAATATACAGAATTAAGTAGTTTTAAGGTTTAAACATTTCTTTTTCAGTAAAGCCTATTTATTATATTACTCTATTATAGCTTATAATAATTATAAAGATTATTATTAATTTAAATATTAAGATAGCTGGACATCAAATTGATGAGAAGTTCAAGATACACTGATAATTTTCACTTTTAATTTCTGGTTACCAATGATTGGAGCCTGGGTAAAATACTTCTTGTAAATTTAATGCCATTAGCCTATGTGGAACATTTTGCCATGGAGAAAGCTTCCCCTACTAGCTCTGCTGTTGATGCAGTGGACTGGCCCCTTTGACTCCTACTTTCCTACCATGCTTTAGAAGTTAATTTGCCTTTGATTTATTGAGCATAAGAACTCAGTTCCTATGAAAGTTTTGTGGATTTCTTTCCCTAAGATTTTGAGTTAAAAGTTAATGACAAAGGATTCTATCCTTCTCTACTTCAAGCTCTCTTTTTTTCTGGATAAGATAATTGAACAGTGGGCCATCTCTGGTCTTACCACCTTTCCCCATCCCCACCCTTGCTCGTAAATCTATGCACACTGGTCTTTAAAAAGATGAGAGACACAGATGCACACTGATCTGTAGAACTGGAGGCCACATTGCAGGTTTCCTTGTAGAAGCCACGTGACAGACCCTTATATATGTTCTACCTTTTTTTCTTACTAAGAAAACTGAAATGTTATTTAAGGAGGTAATTTGTAGTTTGAGGTGGCCATGTGACACATTATTGGCAAACAAAATGTAGACATCAGTCTATTCCTGAAGAAAACAAAATGTTTCTCAAAGAGAAACATTTTGTCTTCCTCTGCTTTGTGTGTTTCATTCAAAGACTAACTATATCAATTTGTGTGTTAGCCAATTGTGTATCTGTTTGCATTTCCACAAATTTCTTTCATTTAGAACAGGTATCTAAATGTACTTAGAGTTGTACAAATCCAATATGAACATCATCATATAGGGAAGGAAGGGATTATGAAGCTGCAAGCCACACTTTATTATTAATCTTCAGAGAATGCTCTTCATTATGTTTATAGCAGAGAGGTAATATAATCAGCAATATAATCACTGCAAAGGTTTTTCAAAATTCCTTCCCATTACATGGAATACAAATTATAATCAGTTGGGTAAAGGTCATAGTACTTACCAATATTTTTTTAAAAAACTTATTCTTATCCCAAAAAGAAATGTTTTGCCATATATATGTATATTTTTCAAACAACTAACAAATGAAAAATGAGTACTTTAAAAATATTACAAATAAACTTTTCTTTAAAAATATTTTATTTGGATATCTGAAGTTCTATATACTATGTCATTTTCTGATGTATTATGAATGATAGAAAGATTGATATGCAATAGATGGTTAGATAGATAGATATGGTAGGTAGATACAGAGAGTTACCTTTGAAAAAGTTTACCATGGAGTACTTTTAAATTTTATCAGTTCATTCTGAAATTAGATCAGTATTACTTTAATTACCTCAAAATACTATTTATCACTGTATTGTCAGTATTGGGAAGGCAGAACAACAACCAAAGTAAAATATGGGTTGATCCCTATTTCAATAATAAAGTGTTTGTATATCATTTACAATAGTATTTCCATGGCGATTTTTTAAGGACCCTTTCAGAGTCCCTTTCAATTTTCCGAATCATCCCTGTTAACAGGTACATTATGCATTACCAGGCGCCTTGGTTTTCTTTCCTCCCAAGATTAAATTTCCCACACGTTTTCTGACCTTTCTTCGTAAGTCTTATTTTGCAAACATAATTTAATAAACTCTGGATCATTCAAAGGTTTCATATCCTCTTGAACTTTAAACTTCTAAATGAAAATGAGGTTTTATTTACTGTATATAATGATGGAACTTATAAGCTAATATCACAAAAAACAATAATTTTCTAATTAATTAAAATATTATAAATTATATGCGTTTTATATAAAATATTTTGCTCAATTGCATTTTCTTATTTTGAAATAGAAAAGTATATCAAGGAAGGAAAAACCATTCATATACATCACCTGTTAACATGTCAAGGCATGTCCTTTTTTCCATCTATAGATTTTTTAAAATAATTTTAATTATTATTTAATTATATTTATATTACATATAATTTTCCTATTTATGTAATACATTACATGTATATAATTTTCTATCTTCCTTTTATCACATTAGCAAAACTAACTTTCTGTATTATTTTGAGTTTCCATAAAACTAATTTGTTGTGACTACATAAAGCGCTATTAATTTTTACAATGATTTGTTTTCTGTATTTTACATTATGGATAAGGTTGCCTATATATTTCCATGTATAGAGATTTAACACATTTATAATTATTTTTCCCTCAGAATAGATTGTTTTAAAGTTTTTAATATCAAATAGAAATAAAAGTATTAATAACAAATTACTCTTCAAAAGGATGTTATGAACTAATCATGGCCTACCAATGATTTAGTGCTTTTTCATAACATTTTTACTTATATTGATTATTAGTAAGAAAATAAAATTGCCTATTTGCTAGATTAAAATGGCATTTACAGTTCTTTATTTAGTTTATGTTTACTTTGATTAGGCAAAACTTGTGGTCTTCTTTTGTGAAATATTGCCTTTAAAATTTATCTGTTGATTTCTCAGTTTCCTGGTCAATTGTCTACTTGCTTTACTTATGTATAGTGATGTATTTATATATTGTTAAAGAGAAAATTTTTTTAAAACTTTAGAAGATTATATGTCCACAATTTTCTTTTCCTTATAAAATATTCTCTCCAATTCAAAAGTCTGATGAATATTCAATTATATTCCAAACATTTAAAAATGCCTAATACCTTTTAAATCTATTTGGATATTTGCTGTTAGGTTTCAAGTGTACATTGATCTTCTCCCAAATTATTAACCAGTTGACTGAACACATTTGTGCACAGTTCTTTCATCCTTCACTAACTTGCCATCCTTTTCTAATGTATTAAATTACTATAGCTCACAAGGTATATTTCTGGGCTATCATACTATTCTTTAATTTGCCTGTTGGTGATATGTACCTGACAGTTTATATTATGTCAAATCAGATAACTACATTATTGCTTTGAAAGAAATATCTAATTTTCTAACTGTGAAGTTAGAAAAGTTATGAAATATGGCTTAATATTTCTCCATAAATTCTTACATGCATAAAATATTTCTGTGATTTCAAATTTAATAATTCAATTCCCTTAGAAATAAATTACTCACAATCCCCTGTAAATGAAAGAGAAAAACTACATAGCTCACTAAGCTTATTAACTCAATATGGTATTCACAGCTCATTATACTGTATTAAGTTGTTATATGACATGCAAAGATAATAGTTAAATGTGTGCATTAGATCAGGCTAGCAAGAGTAATAATAAAAGTCATCATATACTTTAGGTGAAGAAAATATTATTTAACTTTAGTTAAAGTGACTTCACAAGTAAATCTTGAACTGAAAGAAACAGATAAGCAATAAAGACAATGCAATAGTGACTAAGTAATTGCAAAAATAACCTTAAACTATCATTTATGAAACCTCTTTATATACAAATAATAATCAGACACACCCATATGAAACTGCCCTCTGAATATTTATTAATAATGTTTGCAAATGTTAAAGTTTTTAGCTTTAAAATGTTGGAATTTGTTTAATATTATTATGAAAATAATATACCAACCATCTCTGGCGCTACCCACCATGAAAGCAGAAAAGAATAAAAAGAAACATTAAGAAAATATTAGAAACAATAAAAACAAAAAACACCACAGTTTAACATTGTTTCGCTGACACATCATTAAATCATTCTAATACAGTATTTCTCAAACTTATTTCCTACAAAAATCTGATGATGGAAGCTTATATTTTAAAATCTATAGACATTTTTTTCAATTTCGTGAAGATCTAAAAAAATTCATAGAAAAGTAATCTTTATGACCCGCATAATCCTTGAGAATAAGTACTACCACATCAGTGCCTATGTTTGTGTTTGTTCCAACAAAAGCATTAGTCCCAAGTAGTACAAGTTCACTTTTAAAAGCTATTCAAAAAGGAAAGAAATTGATTTCATATGGATTACAGAATTCTCACTAAATAATCATGCATAATTTGAGTGAAAGTTTTATTGTATTTGAGATATGGAAAAGAAATAGAAAAGCCATGCCATCAGAGATGATACATGTTCAAATAAATAGAAGTTTGATATGGTAGTTTTAGTTTCAGTCAAATACATCATCCATCCTGTTAAAGATCTTAATTTGAATTTTACCGATGTTGTAATTTTGCTTTTCTTTAATTTATAATTTTGAATTCAGAACTATATAAAAGCCATAAGGATAAATTTTTGTAACTTTTTGTAAATATTTTAAAATATTATAATAATATAAGTTAATATTAAGGGTCTAAAATAGATTTCATGTAAAAGAGAATTACGAACTGCCCAACTTGAAAATACTCTTTTAACATATTCTTTGAAAACCTCAAGACATATGTTAAATAATTCAACTTTAGAAATAAAGGCATGTTATGATATTTAGAACAATAAAGAAAGTCACATCATGCCTAGAAAATAAGACTGCTACATAGCTGCAGTCTAAAATGAGTGGAGGGTATTTATGTTATCTTCCCAAGGAGGAGTGTAATTACGAGTGATCAGAGTTTAGCCATTATTCTTTTTTTTCCGGAAGCAAAGGATAGGGACTAAATGCATTCCATAAACAGAAATACCTCCTTCACCTTATGTTAGTGTCTTCATTGTCTCTTCTCAACCAGCTTCACATAATTGGTGTCTGTCTGGATTCTACCATATATAAACTTTTTGATGAAAAATAGGATATAATAGCTTAACCAAAATGTAAAGGGCAAATATGAAGAGAAGACTTTATTCTAGTGGTTATAAGAATATTTTTAAATCATGGCCCATTGTATGAAGCTTTTAAAACCAATTTCTTCAAACTTCCAGACCAAGTTAAAATTCAAAAGGAAAAGAGAGAGAGAAATGAAAACCCAACTGGACTACATTCCTAAGGAAGTTGTCACTGGGTGTCTGCTTTTTCAATAAAGGCCCAGAAGTTATGAACTACAGCTACAATGCTTCTTTTCAGAGAGAATGATTTTACTCTTACAAAGATTTTCCCTCATCTACCCATTTACAATTTTGAAATTCATAATTATTAAGGCTGAAATCAAATCTTATAAATCTGGTGTGCTGACCTTTTAAGACTGAATTTCAAAACAATGAACAATTAGAATTCATGTCATTTTTTTTTTAAATGAACCGTCTTATTGCTGTTGTAAATTGAACCACAAAATACCCTATTCTTAACATATAAAGTATTTTTAGGACTAATGTACATTATTATTTTAAAGTAATTCATTTTAAGTAAGTTTTTATAGTGACATTAATTCAAGGAAAAGGTAGTTTTGTATATAACATTCTCTTTTTCTCAGATTAAAAGTAAATAAACCATTTATGGGCCAATCTGTTAAAATAGTCACCTGCATCTCATCTAATTTTGATTGAATATCTGGAGGGAAATCTCCTGCTCCACAGTTAAATGGATCAAAAGGTTCTGCTCCAAACAGGTCCCGTTCTAAAAAGAAGAACATAACTTAGTAAATGAAATGACAAGACATGAGCTGGAGTAAGTTAGATTTCAAAGGCAGTATTATATAAATAAATATTTACATGATCAAATGAGCCAATATTCACATTTATACTTTATGTTGGGCTTCCCTGACCAGTTAAACACTAACAAGGAAAAAAGATCCATATTTTTTTTTTTTTTTTGAGACAGAGTCTCATTCTGTTGCCAGGGCTAGAGTGCCCTGGCGTCAACCTAGTTCACAGTAACCTCAAACTCCTGGACTCAAGTAATCCTCCTTACTTAGCCTCCTGATAGCTAGGACTATAGGCATGCGCCACCATGCCCAGCTAATTTATTTATATTATTATTATTTTTAGTTGTCCAGCTAATTTCTTTCTATTTTTTCAGTGTAGATGGGGTCTTGCTCTTGCTCAGGCTGGTCTCAAACTCCTGAGCTCAAACGATCCTCCCGCCTCGGCCTCCCAGAGTGCTAGGATTACAGGCCTGAGCCACCACGCCCAGCGAAAAAAGATCCATTTTATGGCATTAAAAACTATTTAGAATTATTATTCAAAGAGGTTTCTGTATCTTCAATGAAGACTTCTCAATATGAAATTCACCTAATATTTTATAATTAAAATATGACGACACCTACATTTTACTGAAGTAATTTAAATTTATAAAAATTAATATAGCACTCATTAGGGTTTCCCTAACTACACTTATTGATACCTTGCAACACCACAGTGAAGCAATATTCAGGACTGAGTAGATTAGCAAATAGCTCTACTATAGTTCATGTACCTTAATCTCACCTTTTATCTGAAAAAATATAGTACATCATTTCATGTGCTATTAAATCATATTAACTTCCTAAATAACCACAATGAGACAGGTTCTTTAAAATGCCTCTGATCCCAGAAATAAATTTCTTTTTTAAAAGTGGTAGATGTGCAGTATTTAAAAAGCTTTCCATATAAATATTCTAAAGCATGTACTGCTTTTTATCACTAAAGAAGTATCAAAGTTAAAATTCATGTTTGCATTTGATAGATCACAGCCTATTACATGATTTTAAAATAAATAAACCCAATAAATTTCTTTCCTCTCAATCAATTCAAATGCAAACTTAATTGGAAAAAATTAAATATGGGAATGGGTATTTACAGCATATTTATATTTTCTTTTTGCAGAGAACTTCAGTGCTATATAAAAAATAATATTTATGCAACTGGATTTCTACAATATCTTCTAAAATCAGTCTGGACTCCCATTATGAACAAGCCTTGCTTTTCCAGTTTTAATCATTTCTTTCTTTTTCAGATTTTGGTTTATTAAATAAGTTAATAAACATGAAATTCTTAGAATTTTCTGGTTCTGGTAAGTATATAAATGAGAGGGGCATATAATTTATCCTCCAAATACAGAGACTTTTAAAAGTTAAAAATAGCACTCCCAATAGTTATATGGGGACAAAAGCTATAATCCAGAACTGTCCTAATCAAATGGGAATTTACAACTTTACATATAACTGACAGATATTACTATTGCTGTTATTTATTTAGTGCTGCTAAAGCAAGAAATCAAAATTTAAAGATCAGAGGCACTTCTCTTTGGAAGTGTGGCTTGTTTTCCACTATACCACAAGTATATTGAACAATACTTTTCATATAGTTATTTTTTTCTTTTTTAAATGACATAATGAAGGGGAGGGATTGCTGAAAAGAAGAATACAAATTTTCATATATAGATATTCTCGGACTGGGATTCAATAATCACTAGAGTTTTCAGATGAGCTTTAAGGAGTCCTTGACATTCCTGAAATGTAATGCAAAATTGTATTTCAGTGGGCATGCTGTGTTTTTCTGTGAAGAAGTTTCTTAATTTATCATGTTTTTAAGAGTACATAACTCCCCTATAGTTAAGAAACAACTATACTATAATTTAAGGAATGATATTAAAACTATGTAAATTAATAAATGTTACAGAGCTCTTTGGTGTATTTTGCTCAGCTCAGATGTATATAAAATTCATAACAAAAATCATATAAATTCGGTTTCTATGAAAAAAGTTTGCTATGTAATTACTAACATTAAAATTAGTTGAGTCTAAGTTCAGCTTCTATGAACAAAGTTTGCTATGTAATTACTAACATTCATGGAACTTATAGCCAATCAGGGAACATAGTTATTAAACAGATTAAAGTCTGAAATGTATTCAAAAGAGAAACACAGTATTCAATGGAAGTGAGAAATAGAGGATCAAAAACACATTCTGGAGAACTATTAGGATTCTCAGGCACTAAAAAGAGAAAATAAGGAAGCAATCATGCAAGTTTTTGCTTTTATGTACTTAGCAGATAATGAAGAAAAATAAATTAATGAATACATTGAAGAGTTCATTTAGAGAAAAAGTCCTATAACTAAACCCCACTGGTTTAGAGTTTTAGACAATTTTACAATTAAAATGTGATAAACAACTTGTCCTTAAGTGGTTAATATAGATAGACCAAACAGACAGACATATAGGGACAGAGATATCTTGCAATATATCTGTATAATCTCTATGTATCTATCTATTTATCTATATATTTTTACTAAACTTTGATACTTTGAGGGACAGACATTGAAAAATGTATCAAGGTGTTACTTTACTTTCTCTTTTACTTTTAATAAATCTCTTAAAACCATTTAACCATCTTTGCTTAGACTTTCCAAAGGCATTTCAAACTCATCAATGTCTAAAACAGAGCTCATTATTTTCCACTTTTCTGCTGCCAATTTTTCCTGTTAACAACATTTAGTCTAAAATACTGAACTATAATTGAGTTTGAACTTTTAAGCATCATCTTCATAAATTATTCCTCCTAAATATCTTCAAATCTATTCAGTCTTCTAAATTTATATATTTCAACTTCGATTAGAATCTTTCACTGTAGATACATTGCTAATTTATATTTCAAATTCTAGCATGTCAACAGTTCTATTGTACATCATGGTGACTATCATTAATAACAATATATCCCATATTTGAAAATTGCTAACAGAGTAGATTTTAAGTGTTCTCAACCACAAAAAATTGTAAGCATATGAAGTAATGCAAATGTTAATTGCCTTGATTTAGCCATTCCACAATGTATGTGTGTGTGTGAATATATATATATAATGTTGTATACCATAAGGATATATAATTTTCAGTTTTCAATTAAAAATCCTCTGAAATATTAAGAATATTTTCTATATATGTAAGTGTATATCCTTAAAATTATTAATGAAACAGATGTCTTGAAGATTGAAGGCATGAGCAATGAGATTACTCAGTATAGTTCTATGTAGAGTAAATGAACTTTTAATTACAACAAAGATTCAGACAGTATAAGGAAGTGCATTTTTATGTGTGATATTTGGATGTATTAGTAATTTCTTTCTTTTTTTGTTTATTTATTATCTCATATTACATGAGTACAAATATTGTTAGGGTTACATATCTTGCCCCTGCCCCCCTCCCCACCCCGCTATGCCAGAGCTTCAAGTGTGCCCAGCCTCCAAGTGGTGTGCCCTGCACCCACCATGTAAGTGCGTACCCTTCCCTTTCTCCTCCCTTCCACCTGTCCACCTCCCAATAACAGATTTTCTTTTTAGACATTTTGGTTACAGTGTGTATCTTTGCCTCTCCCTAAAAAGGGATAGAGGTAATCCCTTGCCCCCTACAATGCTCACCACATCCTTAAGATGTGAGTCTCCCCTACAAAATCCCTATTGAACACTACCATTTTTTGAGCACCATAGTTTTAGTCTATCAGTACCAATTTGATGGCAAGTAGATGTGTACCCCATTTTCAGGTCTTGTGTCATCTCGCTTTGTATTACAGGCTTAAACTTAATCCAGGATAGCATAAATGGTGCTAGCTCACTATTGTTTCTTAGGATTGAGTAATATTGCAAACCCTATCAGATATTGGCCTAGGCAAAGAATTTATGAGGAAGACCCCTAGGCAATCATTGCCACAGCAAAAATAAACAAATGGGATCTGATCAAATTAAAAAGTTTCTGCACTGCCAAGGAAACGATCATTAGAGCAAATAGACAACCCACAGAATGGGAGAAAATATTCACTCTCTACACTTCACATAAAGGTCTAAAAACAAGAATTTATCTATAACTTAAAAGAATAAACAAGAAAAAATCAAACAACCCCATCAAGAAATGGGAAATGGAAATGAACAGAAACTTCTCCAAAGAAGACAGAATAATGGCCTGCAAACATATAAAAAATGCTCAACATCTCTAATCATTAGAGAAATGCAAATCAAAACCACAATGAGATACCACCTAACCCCAGTGAGAAAGGCCTATATCAAGAAATCCCAAAACAACAAATGCTGGCGAGGATGCGGAGAGACAGGAACACTCTTAAACTGCTGGTGGGACTGCAAATTAGTGCAACCTTTGTGGAAAATAATTTGGAGATACCTCAAACAACTAGAAATAGAAATATCATTCGACCCAGCAATAGCATTGTTGGGCATCTACCCAAAAGAACATAAGTCACTCTATTATAAAGACATCTGCACCTGAATGTTTATGGCAGCACAATTCACTATTGCACGGTCATGGAAACTACCCAAGTGCCCATCAATTCATGAGTGGATAACTAAAATGTGGTATATGCTCACAATGGAATATTACTCAATCCTAAGTAAAATATTTTTATCTGAAAAAAAATTCCAGGATATAATCCAAGTCTAGCGTATGTGTGGAGCACATGCTCAATAAATAAATAAATTAGTGAGTGAATCAGTGACCAGGTACAAGGAAGTGAAAGGGATAAAGAGAGAGATGTGGGAACACTCATAAGCACAAGAACTACTCCATCATGATATCAGGGCATTGGAAATATTTTCTAAAACACACTAAGATGTGTATACTACGGATTATTTCCTTGAAAAAATTATTTTGTATTGGCACAAGACACAGAATAATTTAAAAATATATTTCAACTCATGTAAAGTATACAAATATTTTTATAAGCTGATTTTTAAAGTCCATAATGTTATTACTATATATTTTCAAATTAGTCCTCTAAAATGTACTGAATACATAACATGAGCAATGTATGTTGTTAAGTTCCATGGGGGGAAACAAATAAACTATAGGCCCTGCCATGTACTAAAGCCTTAAGCTAAAACTTTGTACTTATACTCATAATGTCTTAATGTTTATCAGAGAGAGTACAATAAGGTATAATATGCACAACTTTTTTCTTCAGTGTCCCTTTAGACATAGTGACTGATTCATGGCCACTGAGAATTATTCTTTCATTTTCTGGGACAAAGCACACATCAATACACAGCCAAGCATCTGTTGGAAGCTTTCTAATTCATCAAACAGAGGCATTAGTGTTCTTTCCAGATATATGAAAGATAAAATATAAAAGCGATTAATTTATGGCATCTTATATATCAGAAAAAGAACCCTTACATAGTGTTTATAAATGAATAAGTCATGAAATTCATATCATTTATGCATTTCTTCAACAATATCAATACATCTTATAACAAAAATATTTAAACGAGCTCTATTAAACACATCAACAATGATTAAAAAATTACCCCCAGCTATTTTTAATAATTAAGTCAAAACACTAAAAATATAACCCCCAAAACAATAAATATATAATTAAATGTTTTGTATTGTGATGTAAATAAACCTACAACAAACATCATCATTCATGTAATAGGTTCAAGTCACAAATAGGAATGGCTTTAGCAGTATAGTCTGAATTATGAAATATAATAGATTTAACTGATTTGGCACATATATAAAAACATAATACTTTAATAAGTAAACTTGTTAAGATATATAATTTCCCAGAAAGTAGTCATTAAACATTTAAAATATAGCAATGCATACTGATATGTTTAGAACACTTACTGATCTCAGCAGATCTACTGGGTACTGGAGGTGGCTGTGTGCCATTGCGAGCAGGTATCGAAGACTGGTGTGATATTGGAGAAAATGGAATCATATCAAAGATGTCAGTGGAGGGCGACTTAGGTGTCACACTGCCTGCCTGCAATGAAAATAATATGAATTAGGTTCGTATTTCATGTAGATAACATTGTAATGCTGAATAATCTTTGTACATATAAAACATATACAAACAGCAAATCCAGTTGAATCATATGAACTTGCCATTTTGTAGATCAAACATAGTTAAGTATCTGCAGTTTCACATTGTTCCACTAGTTATGCAAAATGCCCATTTGCAAGAAGGAATATAGAATATTTCTGCAAAAATGTTCACAAAAATGATGGCAATACTATTCAGATGGGTATACAAGATATATTAGATTTTTTGTATATCTAGAAATAATTACCATTTGTAGCAGAGAATTAGACATGTTAGAAACTACATAAAACATGATTTCAGTAATATACTTTGCATAAGATTATAAGTTTTAAACAGGGATGATTACATTTAAGTTACCCACCTTCTTAAAAATAAACTTTCAAATGCAATTGAGGGCATTTTTAAAATATTTTCAAGAATATATTTTAACTTGTATTTATAACCACAATGACAACCAACTTATATTCATTGCTGAAGATTTTATCAAGTTTTCTATAATACATAGCTACTTCATAAAATAAATTAATAATCATCAATGTACCACCAAAATCATTGCCTTATCTGGTATACTCTGGGCCAGGACTGAACAAATAGAAGAAGATAAAAATAAAAATCTTATGAAAATATAGCCAAGAAGTAATATAAAAGTGAGACATTCATCACTTTGTCAAACAGGAAAAAATACATGTGTATATATATATACACATATAATCTGCTTTGAAAACCATCTGATCTAATCAGGAATAAAACAAGGAGAATTCCCCTTTCAAGGAGAATAGCTCAAAAAAATTTGCTTTTCCTATAAGATCTTGGGCAGAGATTGCATAGAGTGGTTCACATTTAAATTAGAGTTCTCAAAATACATTTTAATTTTCTGATTCACAGGTGATGCAGGTGACAAAGACAAATAAAGTTGATTGTATGTAAAGAGTGATGAACTTGCTATTAGTTAAAATATTAAAAATTGTTAATATATTTTTTATGCAGTAAAATTGCTGTCATCTCTCTTTAACAATTTGTTTATTGTATCCCTCATCTCTTTCCTGTCACTCAGGAATATTGTTCCCCTTATCATCTCTAATCATTTCCCTATCCCATCTGGCTTCTGTACTTCTTCTCTTTATCAGAATCTAAAAAGGCTCAAATCTTGGCTGTCCTTAAAAGCAAAACAAACAAAACAAACATTTCTTTACTCTGTCTCCCTTTATTCTTCCAGCCCTTCTCTCTTTTTCTCCTCCCTTCAAGGCTGAGTTCCTTGGCACTTTCTGTCCCAACTTTTACTTCATTCGATTTTTAGCTCCTATCAATTAGACTTAGCTCTTTTTGCATTGAACTCTACTAAAAGTGCTTTTACCAATGTCACCAATGACCTGAGTTCCCAATTGCCATGTCTGTTGCATCCTTTGATGTATCTGCCCTATTTTGTCTTTCCGTAGATTCCTACACTATCACCACCCTCTACTTGAAACTTTCTGATGTCAAGTAACCAAAGGGGGGGGGAACAGCATACAAAGGCTTCAGATCTCATCACATTGATTTAAAATATGTCTACTTTTTTTTTTAATTATTTTTTTTATTTTGGCATATTATGGGGGTACAGATTTTAAGGTTTCAATAAATGCCCATTTCCCCCCCTCCCCCCAAAAGTCTGAGTCTCCATCATGGCCATCCCCCAGATGGTGCACATCTCACTCACTATGTATGTATATACCCGCCCCCCTCCCCCCTCCCACCTGCCCAATACCCTATTACTGTAGCACCTATGTGTCCACTTAGGTGCTACTCAGTTAATACCAGTTTGCTGGAGAATAAAAATATGTCTACTTTTTGATTCCTATATAAACAGCACATTTTGGCAGAACTAAAAAAAAAATGGGATAATAAAAAGAATTTTCTGCTTAGAAAATTACATGAGGTCTTGGGATGCTGTTCTCACTGAATGGCTTGGGAAGGCCACATTTGGAAGGTGGTGGTATTAACAGTCCCAATGATAGTCTGGAATCAGGCGAGTTGACAGGAGTGACAGAGATGGAAGAAATATTGAGACAGGGAGATGAACCATCACTACTACGCCAGAAAGAGGGTGAACATCTCTGAAACCCGTGTTGCTCATGATCAGACATTTTGTGCAGCAGCTGTAAAGGAATGACAGAAAGAGAAATACACTAAGAAGAGGAAAGAAGGCATGGAGGAAAGGAAAAAGTATACATGAAGATTTATTTGTAAAATGGTATGTTGTTAAAATGATAAGATAATTTTACAATAACTACTAAAATTCAAACATGAGGTTAGAGTTGATTTTCCTATGTGAAAGTATTTAGATTCTGGATTGCTTAATTTGATCATTTTTCACTGAAATATTACATTTTTAGATATTTTAAATAAAATATTGCATTCATTAGGATCCAAGAAGAAGAGTGTGGAGAGGGAAATAAGGAAAGCCTGAAGATTTAATTGGGAGAGGGCCTCTGTGTAATAAGATGGGAAAAGGAAGGATGGTAATGAGAGAACAGCCCTTGAAGTAGGAGTATAAACTCTTGTAAATAACGTTACAGCTTTGGGGCATTTTCAAAAAAGGTTACAACATACATTTTAGATTTAATTCATGAAACATTCTTTTGAAGCATTAGTGTTTGTAATATTATGTCTTTATGATAACAAACACATGGGAATCAAGGTCCATAGATTCTCTGTGACTTATTTCTATATGAGGTAAGAAGCAGATTAAAAATTCATCATGCCTTCTATAGGTAGTGAATTCCAAATGGTAGGACTTTTGGAGGATGGGAAAAGGGAGTTGTCAAGCATCGGAAGCAAATCAGAGAGCATTGTCCTGGGTTTGAACATCAGTCTTTGGATGACTCTTAGGAGCTATTTCCATTACAGCATGGAAAGCCACTGTTGAGCTGGGCTGAGAGAGCAGAGCTGCCAGATGTCAAACTGGTCAATTAACAAGCCAAAATGAAAGTAATAATTAAGCCATTATTTACTTACTGCAATAGCATAAGCAAGAGGCCAGGAAGAAGGTGCCTGCTCCATCAATGCTCTATTTTCCCCATGGAATGGCACTGAGCAAAGGTCAGACATATCACTGCAGAAGTAGGGCATTACCTCATTGCTGAGGGAGATCTGAACAGAAGGTTCCTAAAGTTTTTTTGGATAAAAGCCCAGGGAGAGGAAAAAGAGAAGGGCGAGGAGTAGAAAAGTACTGGATACTGAGTCATAGTGAAGAAAAATGTCTCCAAGGGCTCCAGAATAGGGTGGTCTTGGCAGAGGTACTCTAACAGAGGCCTCAGCCAAGGGCCCCCAATAAGTAGGCCCCTGCATGGAGCTGCCTGGGCTAGAAATGCAGATATACTGAGAGCATGGCCAGCCAGGGGACCTGGGTGCTAGACTGATTTCCTCTGAACTGTGCACCAAATCTGGTGTGGTGAGAGCAGCTCTCACCCATAAGGTTTGCCAGGCAAAGCCTTTGTAACTGCCTGTGATTGGTCCTGAAAGATCACATATAGGGTTTTGGTCTAGAGTTGCATCCCTCAGCTACAAATCCCACTTCAGAAATTTGTCAGCACTAATAGAAATTTCAGGCAACCTACAAAAATTTGACTTTTGATAACTTTCATTGTAAAAGATAGCAATCAATATAAATTAGAATTCGAAGGACTAACAAGTTTAAGAGACATTTTTAAGCTAGGAGCCACTTCTTTACACATTTCTGGAAGGAGAGGCAAAAAGGAAGCAGTGTGAAGTAAGAGATTAAGTTGAGGAAAGGGTTCAATATGTAACCCTTTATATGTAGGCATATATTTTTAAAATACATTTTTGTCCTATATAGCTTGCTGTATAAGTCTATCACTGGTGGCCATTTTTTACTTAATTATTGGTTACATTTTTAAGCTCCATGTAGGCAAAATGCTGTTTGTCCAAAGTACTCTATATAGATGTTACTGTCAATGAATATTTATTATTTAATTTATACTAGGGCATTTTTTAATTTAAACTGTAAGTTGATAAAGATGTCTGTATTGAGTAAAGCATAAGAAGATATTAAATGGAAGTTGTTATTGATATTATTTGGCTTAAAAAATAAATGGAAATGCTCTGTATTGTTTTATGACATATATTGACCAAAAAAAGTAAAACCTTTTCTAGGTGCCTCATAACAAGCTTAGGGGCAAAATGACCTAACTTGAAGGTGCTCTAGTATTTTTATCATAGTTTTAATATTATACATTCTAAAAGTATTACTTCCTCTCAGAAGGTACACTTACAAAAATGAAAAATGCATATAATATGAAAATAATCAAGTGTTCAAATATCACAATTAAGAGGTCACTTCACTTTCAAAATGCAAGGATATGTGATGTCAACAATTTTGCTATCTTGAGTTTAAGACTCCAAGACTATCTCTCATAGGTCTCTGGATCATCAGTAATCTGACATTTTTTTGTTTATATTATCAGGGTCTTTTAAAGTATTGAGTTAGTTGCTTGCAGGTGTTCCCAACACAAAGAAAAGATAAATATTTAAGGCAATGGACATCCCAGTTACCCTGGTTTGATCATCACACATTGTATACAGATATCCAAATAACCTATGTACTCTAAAAATATGTACTATATATATAAATTAGAAAAGTTAAAAATAAATAAATAAAAAGCAATTATACATTAAAATCCAGAGGGGTTTTTTTGAGAAGTTTGAAAATCTAGAAAGTGGTCCAATAAACTTGTATGAAAACAAGTGACTAGTATTGAATATCTGCTGTGTCCTTTAAGTTAGTGTGCACTCTCCAATTCATCACTATGTGACCATTTCACACATTTGTGTCATAGCTGGGCCCAGCTGACATTTGAGTTTATGATTCCGAACCTAGACACAATTTATGTCAAGAAATTATTATATATGTTATATCTGATTCCTTACAAAAATTAAATCTAAGACCAGCATATTTAAATATATGGGTATTTTTAATGCTTGATTCTGCACCAAACTGTTAAGCCCAGGGGTCCTCAAACTTTTTAAACAAGGGGCCAGTTCACTCTCCCTCAGACCGTTGGAGAATGCACACTGTGGGCCAGGGATGAGTCGGCTGCTAAGCAGGACAGGCAGCAGTGGCAAAAACACCCGGCGGGCTGGATACATGTCCTAGGCAGGTGGCATATGGCCCATGGGCCATAGTTTGAGGATGCCTGCTTAAGCCTATTAAATTAGGATATGAACATGTAGATAAAATGCCTCAATGACATACAGAGACATTTTTGGCACTTAAGTTTAAGGATTCTAGAACTAGTCTTTTTTAAGCTGCTATATTTTAAACTAGTCAAAAATGTATATTTTTAAGAAATTACATTGTTTAGAGAAAAAACAGCTTGATAATTTTATTTTGGGCCTTCTTTCAGTATTTTGACAGATAGCTAAAAACCAAAGTTTTTGGACTGTTCTACACCACTGTTCAACTAACTCTTTTATGTTCATATCCAAGTGTCTTGGTCTTTAGGAACATGCATAGAATCTTAATTATTATACTAAGGGGAATTTTCTGTACAACAATTACATGTTAATTATGCTGAAGTTGTCAGGTTATTAAGATATATTAATAACTTCATATTTGAGATTTGTTGTTGCTTTATTTTTGAACCAATTTCTTTCAATAAGTAGTGGCTTGGTGCATTTAGGCAGTGGTGACTCTTTCAACATTAAGTTTTGCATAAATGTGACAAGATAAAATGTCATAAAAGTATTTGAATTCTATCAGTAGATATTGAATACAAATAAACAACAAACAAAAAAGCCAGGAGCAGGAGGCTCACATCTGTAACCCTAGCACTCTGGGAGGCGGGGATGGAAGGATCGTTTGAGGTCAGGAGTTGGAGACCAGCCTGAGCAAGAGCAAGACCCCTTCTCTACTAAATATAGAAAAAATTAACCAGGCATGGTGGTGTGAGCCTGTAGTCCAGCTACTTGGGAGGCTGAGACAGGAGGATCCTTTGAGCCCAGGAGTTTGGGGTTGCCATGAGCTGACACCATGGCACACTAGCCTGGGTGACAGAGTGAGACTCTGTCTCAAAATATAAATAAATAAGTACCAAACAAAATAACTGCATTAAAGATTAAACAGTTCTGTGGTAATACCTACAGAAATATTAGAATGATACTGAAATTTCATTTTGTGCCATGAATTGTATTGGCAATATAGATCTTCAAAGACTCTTTTTAAATGTAAAACAAATGACTTCAAAATTAAAATATGATTGATCACATTCATTAAAATAGCAGAGGTTCAAAATTCAACTTAGAGTTAAAATTTAAGAAATAAATTAAAGAAATAAATTTAAATTTAATAAATCTCTTAAATTAAATTTAAGAAATAAATTCTTTTAAATTTATATTTTAAATTAGTTTTTTCTAGTTAAAACATTGGAATATTAAAAATAACCCTAAAGACAGGGCAAGACAATGGTAATGTAAAACGTTCTGGCAGATCTTTATCAGTTGCCATACTGATTCATACTTTTGAAGTTCATGGTTATGGCACATTTTCAACATCACGTTTTAAAGAAGATTTAAAGATAATGACTAATCTAGAACTTACAGCACCAAGAATGTATTTTTTCAGATTCTAGATCCATAGTTGGTTTACATTGGTCCCTTAGCTGTCAGACCTATTATCTTACAGTTTTTATAAGAATCTTGCATGTTAAATGGGTATGATTGTCTGCCTATTACAAAGAGGAAAACTGAAACAAGAGGCTAAATGACTTGACTGGGTACTCAAGGTCAGAACTGGAATGGGAACATTATTCTATCTGCCCACTAGGGTTCACTTTTTTAGAATCCTCTTTTGTGCAACTAATAATTATGAAAGTGGAGTTGTGCACTCCTAATCATTTTTTGTGGGTTCCAAACCAGTGTTCATGTTTAAAATTTTTGCCTTTGTTTAAAGATTCACATTCGACTTGTATAATTGAGAGTTTTTAATCTGCTCTTGCCCATCCTGACTTCAATAGTAGCTGAGAAAACACTACAGGAAAATAGGTAGGTTTGTTTATCCACAATGAAATACACATTTTAGGTTATAATTGACCTACCAAATCTAATCAGTGGCCACACAGTTATTATGTAAAGGTAGAAT